ATATTTTTTTTTTGGCTGAACACGTTACGGTGACTGAAATAAAAAAAAAAAAAAAAAAACACTAATTATGCCCCTAGCACAGTGTTCTCCAAACTGCGGCCCAGGAGCCGGATGTGGCCCTTTGCCCACCTTTATCTGGCCCTTGGGGCATTACTCCACCAATGACAGAGAACCAATTACCCTACTAACATCATCAATGGGGCAGTATTCTTCTTGTTGATAACAATGGGGAGCTTTTCCTACCATTAAAACCAATAATGGCACTGATGCCAGGCATTTTCTACTCCCACTGGCCACTGTCCCCCCCCTTAAAGCCTGAAGTACAGTAAACTGCCCTTTGCTTAGAAAGTTTGGAGACCCCTGACCTAGCAGATAGATTCCTCCAATTTCTAACCTGCACTGGAAAATGAAAATAATGCTATGCTTTTGACATTACTTTGCAGTGATGTATAACCATCTAAAAGAAAAAACATTTGATGGAATGGTTTTTATTAAGAAAAAGAGACCGCAAACCTTCACTCCCATCATTAGAGGCACACTGCCACCTAGTCCAGGCTTCCATTTGCAGTATGACAGTCACAATTTATGTCGGACCACTGCCAGCAGTACACAGTATAAATATCCTCCGATATCCTAAGTCATGTGCAGCAGATTTTACTTTCTGGAGGAAAGCAGTATGTCAATGTCTTTTATGGCCTTTGATGTCTTTTCCAAAATAGAATGTATATTCATGTCACCCATTGTCTGCTGCAGGCTGTCATCACTGCCGTGCTGGTTGTGGAGTTTCACATCAGCTCCGTGGCGCTCTGTACTCCCATTCTCCAGAAGAACTAGACACCGGATGGTTAAGGATGTAAACCAGAAAGTACAGTTTTTGCTTTTTAAGTAAAAGTAATCTATTTAAAAAGCAGGTCAAATGCTTCTACCTATTTTCAATGTAATGGAAATGTAGCTAATATGTACCACCTCTCATAGCCTCAACATAGCTACACTTCTATATTCACTCCCCACCAAGACAGTATGCTGATTCACAGCACAGATTATCACAAATATATGACAGTGCTACTAAACTGTGTCAAAAACAAAAGTAATGTGAATAACTAAAACATGTATATACTCCATTATTAAGTGATATGCATAAATCAATATAACCATAAATCTCCAAAGTCATCTAAAAACACCATGGGGGAGATTCACCAAGACTGGAGCACTCAGAATTTGGAGCAACTGTGCATGGTAGCCCTATAGCTTCTAACTTCAGCTTGTTCAAGTAAGATTTGGCAAAATCTGGAAGCCGATTGGTTTATATGCAGAGCTGCACCAGATCTTGCACTAATTGCAGTAAGTAAGCCCCAAGTGATATTTTTCAAACTACATAAATTCATTCAAGTGTCCAGCACAAGAAAAACTGCATCAAACAAAGTGTCCTGTGCTTCAATAGGGTGCACAAATCTTCATCCAGGGTGCTCACACCCCCTGTGTATCCACCACCTTCCAATCTAAACTCACCAGGAGGTACGTTTTCCCTGATAAGCAGACCCAGGGCCATCTGTAGTACACCTTCTCAATGTCCTGCTCCACAGGCTAAACATGTACGGCAAGTGTTCCCAATTACAACATAACCGCTGCCAACCAGACCACAGTGATCCCTGCTTCTGTGCTCAGTACTCTACAAACAGTTCTGTTCTCTGACATGGTTTGCACTCACACTGAAGCAAACTGTTCCAGACCACAAATGAACTGTGCATGGGATGACCTCTTTCAAGTGGTCCTGGAATTGGTGCATTTAAACTGTTGAAAGGCATGGTTTGGAGCACTCACTACCAGGGTGGATTTGATTTAAATCAAACTGATTTAAATCACAATTTAAATCATGATTTAAATCACTAGTCAGTAAGGCTTGATTTAAATCCTAGTTTTCTACATAAAGACTAATTCTTGCTGGTATAACTTTAATATGCAAGTAGACGACGTTTTTTAGAATAACAACTTTTCATATTAGTTTTTTTATCCGCAGTTTTAATAGGTTAATCATTCATATTTGGACAACTTTTCTGTTGTACTTAGGAAGGAGAAAAATAATCATCATTACCTTAATAATAACAATTTAAATAGATTTATTCAACTGAAACAATAACATTACAGCATATGTTATTTGCTTAAACAAACATCCATGTTTGTTAACTAATTTGGCTAAACAAAATATATATATTTTAAGAAACCTAGACTGTCAGCCCCTTCCTCCTCACACTTAGTTTCACTTTCTTCTTGTGCAGATCTATTCCACTCCAAACAATCAGAAAAAATATTGTTTGTATTCTATTCACTGAACTTCTTGAAACTTAGCACTGAAGGGGTTGATTCTGTATTCATAGGTTTGTAGAAGTTAGGATGAAGGTCTTTTTCTTAACTCTGTTCATGTTATAACATTTTTGCTGTGAAGAAGAGGCATGTGATCTCCGCTGAGTCAAATTCAGTTTTAAGAACTGCAAAAGTAAACCAATCATCTGTGATAATATCTTGTAGGCAGAGAAACTGCCCAATAATCTTACAAAAACCTCTGGAAGAGCATGACATTGTGAATGGATTCATGGAATTTTATGTACCAAAAAAATTAAACATATACAGCCTTATTCTACATAATTAAAAAACAAATCTTTATTTTATGATGGAATAACCTTTGGGTGGTAATATATTTTCCTCAAAAAGCATTTTATTTAAAAAAAATCCGATTTAAATAAAAAAAAATCCGATTTAAATAAAAAAAAATCTAATTTTTAAAAAAAAATAATTGATTTTTATCCACCCTGCTCACTACACACACTGGCACTTTTAACCGTGTCTGGCCATGATTTACCACCTTTTTACAGTTTGAGTGCATCCATACACACCCAAGGGTGGCACGTGTCTGCCCAGTAGTGAGTATGGTCCAAAACAAAATTCACAAAATCTAAAAAACACACAATGACGTGTCAAAAAGGATACACTGAAACCTCTGAATTTTCTTGAGTTCATCTTCCACAGACCTAGGGAAAAAAACAAGGTCTTAACAATAAAAACTTATTTTTTTGATTAACATTTATTCTTTTAATGCTAGAAAAGTGCTTCAGCACAATTTAGCAGTATTAGAGAAGAGGGGGCACACCATATAAATGTAACTTGCAATGATGCTTGAACAAGAATATGTAAATGCATTCACTTTGTGAGTCAAACTCAGCATGTTAATATGGTTATCTAAGGTTGCTGAGATCGGCAGGAAAGTAGCTGATATAAGCAGAGTTTTGCCCGGAGGCGACTGAATGTTGAAGAAGGAAGTGCTACTGTGCTTGGTGATAAGAGTCCTGGACCTGGAATCCTCGGCCCACTCGGAGGTGTCAGAGATGGGGGTCGCCATGTTCAAGGGGGCGTGGTTTCACGCTTTGGGGCTCTGCCCCTTTGTCAAACCTACCAGAGCACAGCTGCTTGCCTTGCTGATCTCTGCAATCTTACAGATAACCATGTTAACATGCTGAGCTTGCTTCACAAAAAGTGACTGCATTTACTTGTTCAAGCATCACTACAGAATACATTTAAATTGGTGCACCCCCTCTCCTGCTCTAATCTAGACTATCTCAAGACCTGATCTAGGGGAGCATTGGGCATCACACCCTCATGACCTTTTTCAATGGGGACTCAGTAGTGCCAGAGTTTTCATTTATACTTTTAAATAATTTAGCATGATGTCACTCCACAAATCAGCGATAGAGGAAGGCAGATTGGACTCATGCCAAAGATGTTCAGCAGTTTTAAGGTCAGGGTTCTGCACAGTCCACTCAAGTTCCTCCACATCATCCATCAAACTATATCTATGGAGTCGACTTTGTAAACAGGGACACAGTCATGGTTACGAAAAAATGCCTTTCCAAACTGCTGCCACAAGTTTGGAAGTGGACAATATTCTAAAAAGGACTCTGCATGTTGTAGCATTAACAGTGCCCTTCACTTGAAACAGCTAAACTCAATATTTTGGAGAACCTACTTTATGTCATATAGGTAGATGTGTTGGTAAGGTGTCCAAATGTTTGGCCATATAGTGTGTCTACTAGAACAGATCTATGGCCTGGTGTTTTTAACGATAAGATTTAGATCTATTGCTAGTAAACCAGATGGAGTAAAAGTCATAAAGAAAAAATTTACTTTTATTGTAGCTTGCCAATCCTTTAAGTGTTACTAAACCCCGGACCCTGCATTCACTATATCTGGTCTCCCACAGTACACAGAACATGGAAGTTATAAACTGCTAAATACCTTTTCTCATAAGCAGTTAGAGCAGTCTTGTGACTTCTATCAGTGCTCAGCCAAGCACTAGCTAAGGCTAGTAGGAGGAGTTTTCTCTCTGCTCTAGGAAGATGCAAGACCTCTGTCTGACCAGTGCTGATTGGCCCTGTGCTCATCACATGCACTCTCCCAAGTAAAAAAAAAAAACCCCTCTCTAGCAATATACACCAAACTGAGCATGTGCAAAATGCCTACCCGTTCAGTCTGTCTTATCAGGAGAAAAGAAGTGGTCGCCTAAACAAGGGGAGGAACAGAGCAATCAGGATCAAAAATGGCCTTTTTACACAATGCAGAGGATTAACCCCTTAGGTTCCACAGCAAGTACAACAAGCATGCTTTACCGCATATATTGGATGATTTCACAGTGGCTGAAAAAAGGGCTGAAATGTGGAAGATAATTTACTTATGGTTATTTTAAAGTGGTCTTAATTGTCCCTAAGGTTCACTCCAGGAAGAAATGGAGTACTGCCTCATGTACATAATATAATATATGCAGCACCTACTACCATCACCTACCAATTTTCTGTAACAACTGGAGCTTGTATACTTCTCTGAGATCTGTCATCCAGACTGCGGCACCAGGCTGCTGCAGGTCTGATGTAGCTGTAAGGAAGAAGAACAATGTGTAATCAGCCTGGCTGCTGGTAACTATCATGGAGTGTATTTGGTTATCTTAGGTATACCTTGCATACTCTTCGGGACTCTCCAGTTCAATCAGTTTTGATGCACCATTTGGAAACTGCAATCTGCACCATCTGAGATGATTGTGTTTACGAACAAAAGAGATGGGGAGAAACATTCATGCTGTCTTGCAGCTAAAAAAAGAGCAAAGATAAAAATAGGTTTTCTTTTAGACACATAATAACATTTCAAACACACAGAGGAACACGCCTGAACTATGGTGGAAACTCTAGTGACATACTGGTAAACCTGCTCCATCTTCAAAAGCTGATTAACTTATTCAATGCTGCTCATTTTTTTTCAAGCGTTTAAAATTAAAATAGTTATAAAAGAGGATCACTGACATTACAATGGTAGTCAGGCAATGTACGATTTCACCTCCAATTACTTTTTCAAACTTTCAAAAGGTCAATGAACCCAAATGAGAGTGCTGCTACAAGAACCTTGGGAGCAAAAGCTGCATCTGCGCAGAGGATTGGACGACTACCTGGTAGAGTTTGGAAAAAGCATGAACAGAAGATCACAAGGAGGCCTTACAAGGTTGGGCAACAGAGACTGCTCCTTTAGTGTGTAAGCTCTTCAGGACTTATCCAACAAGAAATGGTGGATCTTGAAGCAAGATGTCCCTTGTGAGGTGAGGTTAGGACAAATAGGGTTCCATCTTCCTGATAGAAGCTGTAGCATTTAGGTACCCTCTGGTGGTTCTGACTACATCCAGACAGTCAAGAGCCAACTCATTTGGGTGTTTAGGAGCAGAGCCAAAGGATGGAAGGATTTTGCTTCTTCAGGGAGGGAGGCTGACACCACCTTAGGAAGAAATGAGGGTCCTGGGTTCAAGACTTTATCCTTGTGAAAAATTAGCAACAGCCTCTTATAAGAGAGAATTTATCCACAAGTTCCTTGATAGGCTTAAAAGGGTGTTTTATTCAGGCTGGCGAGGACCAAATGAGATCCCAAGGAAGCACAGGGTACTTTAAAGATTCTCAAATCTGAGAGAAACACTTTTCCAAAAAAAACTGACCTAATTTTCTCTGGTAAAAACTTTTATTGAAAAGGATGGACAAAGCTGAAACCTGTCCCTTAACTTAAGACCAAGTATTTGTCAAGTCCTGATTGTAGGAAGGCCACAATGCGAGGCACAGAGTAATCTCTTGGATTGAAGTGTCTGCGCTCACACCAAGCAAAAAGGGATTTCCAGTTATGATTGCAGATCTTTCTGAAAGTGGATTTCCTTGCTTTTAGCAAGCTGGAAATGACAGAATTAGAGACCCCCTCTGTTCCTGGATGTGGACTTCAATAACCATGCTAATAAAGCCATTGACTGAGAAGACGGATATAACAGGGGGCCCTGAGACAGCAGGTCTGGTCCATTTGAAAGAAGTCAAACTATGTCTGTACCAGGTGCTTGAGGAGGGCCAGTGAAATCACTTGTTTATTCTTTTGCTCCATTTTGTGGAATAGTTGAGGCAGAAAGACAAACTATCCTGAACGGAGTACATCAGATGTCAAAGTAAAAGGATTCCTATTCACAGACAGAGGAAATTTGTTTTTGAACCTGGAGGGCAGAATATTCACATCTGGAGTACCCCATCTTTAATCAGGCTGAAAAATGGTGGGGTGAAAGGCCTATTCCCCTTGGTGCAGTTGGTGACGACTGAGGTAGTCTGCCTTCCAATTTCCACTCTTGGGATGTAACTGCAGAGACTGCTGGACAGTGTTTCTCTATCCAAAAGATGATCAGGCTTACTTCCCCCAAGGTTGCCTGACTTCTAATACCACCCCCCCCCCCCCCCAGTCATTGCGGTAGGTCACACCATGGCATTGTCCCTGAAGAAGGAGGTCTAATTTTGCAAAACAACGTTCGCTTTGAGCTCTAAGATGATGTTGGGGAGCTGGTCTTTCTTTGATGATCACATTTTTTGCACAGTGAGAGGTCAGAACATGCGGAGAGGCTGGCATTAGTTAACACCTTCCATTAATATGAAAGAAAAGACTTCTCCATTGTCAAACCTGGGTTGGATATCCAGCAGACTAGGAGTTCTTTGCTTGGCTAGATAAAACATAGGGAGGCCAAGAAACAGAGCTTGTTGGAAAGGCCTTGAATGGATTGGGCAAATGGAACAGCCTTGAAGGCGTCCACCAAAAAGCCCTTTAACTCGCTAAGAGAATCTCACAAAGGTCTATTGACCTTAAGGCCTGAGTGTGAGATCTCAGAGAGACCAGTTTGTGTTTTCTGAAAGAAAAGACCTTTGCTTGGGATTTGTCTAAAACATGGCCCAATTATTCCAGGCAAAATGAAGGAAGGAGAGTGCAATTTTGAAAGTTGATTACCCAACCAAAAGCTTGAAAAATCTGAATAGTGTTTGCAAAAAGCTGGAAAGGAGAGGATTTCTTCAGAAGACAGATATCTAGATACCCTGTAAACTGCCATTGGTTCTTAGGAGGGCAAAAAGGTGTGCAAGTACCTTTGTGAATACTATGGGAGCCAAAAATTGACCAAAGGACAGTTAGACAAACTGGAAGTGTGTCTCTCCTACTGTGAAGTGCAGAAAGTGCTCATGAGAATCTTTTCAAGAAGCAATATCTTCCATAGGTACAGTGAGATGTTTGTTTAAAGCTGAGATGGCAGGGTCTACTACTAGAAGCATGTCTTTTTTTTTTGTGAACTCTTTTTCCACTGGATATAGCTCAGCAGTAATTCTTGGCTGAAAATCTTTTCAGGACTGACCCAATTGTCAGAAATTGACCATTGTGTTTGTTCAGGAATAAGACAAGTCTTTTTGACTTAGCAGGTCTCTCAGTACTAATGACAAGATAGAAGAGCATCAATGACAATGCGTGACAAATGCCGAGGCTTTTACGAACAGCTGAAGTGATCATATCAAAAGTGGCAAACAGACTGCATGAAGTCTACACTCAGGTGTAGAAGAGGAAGAGGAGTACAGGATGTAAGGCCAAGCAGATATTCTGACAGGAAGCTTGAATGAACTACCACAGTGCTCCACAAAGCCATGGTAGCTCATTGAAAAAACTACAAGCCGACAGCCACTAAGGCTGCGAGGACTTGTAGGTACTCATTCACAGAATTCACGGCCTTCACTGCGCCTATTTTCAAATCTTGCAGATTGTACAGGGCAACATCTTCCCATATTATCTGTAAGAGGGAGGGGGAGCGGCAGGCGCTGCTGTGGCTATGGGAACATGTTACATGTTCCAAAGGTGAACTTATCCTTTAAGGAAATATTCAGGTTACCATTATGAACATCTCTTTGCAGTACATCTATTGGCAGGACTGCAGCCTATTGCCAGTAATTGTATGTTATTTATCCCCCTTCAGAGCAATATTTCTATGCAAATGCAGTTCGGGTGTAGCAGGGATGTAACTTTTTCTTAAAAACTAGAAAGGGTCATCTATGTGGCTGGAGCTGAGAATCCCTGGATCAGCATTGCATTACCAATAGAGAATTTCACATAGGTGACTGCCCTGTTGCACTCAAATAGTGTCAAGGTAAAAAGGAAACACATGCTTCTATGTCCCCTGAATGCCTTTCTATTCTAAGCTCTGAGGAAGAACTGTATAAATAAAACCACATTCATAGATACATCAGTTTCCTATGTGCAGATATGTAGGATTCCACAACTATACTATTTTAATGATGCTTAGAGTAGCCTGAATGCTTTTAGGACAGCCGTATGAACCAAAATGTATATAAATAATTTTAAAATAACCAAGCATCAATACAAAATTATCAGATTAAAAAAAAAACAAAAAAAAACCCAACAACCAAGCTATTGTATTGATGTGCCATTCTAAAAACTATATCATGGCTGGCTTCATGGAACCATGTAGTAACCAATACCAGTACACAGAATAAGTTGCTAATAACGTGCGAACCAGTGAAACAAAAAATATTACATAACAAAATGAAAAAATAAAAAATTACCTCTTTCTCTTTAATAAAATTAGTAAAAAATCCCAAATCATGAATAAAATGACACCATCCAAAAAGTTGCCAATAATTAGATTGTCAGAATAAACGGAAAACTTTCCTTTGTCCGGCATGAAACACTGTTCCAACAGAATTGGCATTGTGACTCCAGAATCAGCCCCAGATTCCTGCAATGGAAGGGAGATTTATATATTATTTATTTATACTGGGACCAAAGGAGAAGTAGGCTGGAATACAAAGCTAGTACAGGTAATTGTTTGTGGACACCAGACCATCACCAGACATGAACTTGTTAGAAAATTACACTACAAAACAATTAAACGAAAAAAAAAAAGCTCTGCACCCACGGCACCCCCACCTTCCTTCCTCTGAAAAACTGACAGGCAGACCCAAAATCGGTCCACTCATGTGAAAGGGGCCTTAACTGCTTCAATACCGGGCACTTTTACCCCCCTCCTGCTGCCCAGGCCAAAACTTCAGCTTTCAGCGCTGTCCCACTTTAAATGACAATTGCGCGGTCATGCAACACTGTACCCATATAAAATTTTTACAATTTTTTTCACACAAATAGAGCTTTATTTTGGTGGTATTTAATCACAACTGAGTTTTTTTTCATTTTTTTGCTAAATAAAAAACAAAAAAAACAAAAAACCCTGAAACGTTTTGAAAAAAACAAAAAAAAAACAAAAACAATTTCTTTGGTGAAAATACACTAGGGTAGTACAAATACCCCCCAAATCACCCATTTTTTGTGGAAAATAGACAGTTCAAAGTATTTAGTAAGAGAGGCATGGGGTTTTTGGAGGTTGTATTTGTTGCAGTTTTTTGGAAAATGTAGAAAATAAAAAATAATTTTTTTTACGTACTGTCACCAGTCTAGTGCAGCGTAATTATATAACTCGAGTGGCGTTGATCAGAGACACTGACTGGTGGTAGTATGTAAAAAAAATAAAATAAAAAACAATCATTTAATTTGTATTTTTTTTCTTAATTTTTCTCTTTTTTATTACAATCTTTTTTTTTTCAACACACTGTGACCAAAGCAATACAATATTACCATAGTAACATTGAACTGCTCTGGGCAAGTGATCAGGATTTTTTTTTTTGCTTGTTTAAAACATTATAATTGCTAATACCAATGTATTTCATTGATATTTGCAATCATTGTTACTGAATGAAACGGATTCAGGTCTTTTTTCTTGTGATTAGCGGTGATATGGGATTGGGCAAAGCTCATCACATGATACAGATGGGCTATGATTGGCCCGGTCTGTATCATGTGATTGCTTTGACCAGTCACAGCTAACAACATAATTGTATACAATGGATGGCATGACAGAAAGCTATCCATTATATACAATTGACATGTGATCTGTTGTGATTGATCACAGCGGTCACATGACACTGGCAACGGGGCGGTGTAGTGATATGTGATCGGCTGTGTCCCATGGACAGAGCCGGTGACAGATCGCACCACTGCACGGCCGCATGAGCGGCTCGTTTTGTCAGGACATCACATGAGGCCCAGTCACGCCCGGCTATCAATCTGCTATAGGCCAGGCGGGAAAGTGTTAAGGTAAGGGCACACTGTGCAGTCTTGGTCTGAAGATGGCTTTGCTCACAGGGGCACAGTTATGCTGGATCAGAAAAGGGCCTTCCCCAAACTGTTGCCAGGAGATTTATAAAATGCACAAATTGTCTAAATTGTCCTTTTATGATGTAGTATTAACAGTGCCCTTCGATGGAAACACCTGAATATCCTTTTGGCCATATATGGTGTATCAGCTTTTACCCCTTTACCCATGTTATTTTGGGCTAGACTGTGCAACTATATATGATCAGTTATAATAATCAAACTTTGCTTTACTTAATACAGAAATTTTAATAAGAACATCACATTTCTTTAAATACTTGACTGGGATATCTTAAAAAGGTCTTGAAAACTGCAGAGCTCAATGAAAACTAATGGCTTTTGTCAATTTTATTTCATATCCTCTTTCAGTTTAAAACAAACAATGAGATTTTATATATATATATATATATATATATATATATATATATACACACACACACACACACACACACACACACACACATACATACATACATACATACACACACACACACACATATATATATATTATATATATACACATAATCTATAACAAGTAAGACACTAGACGCATTCATTTGTGACTTAAATTTCAGCTTGAGCCATTGTGCTCTATAACTGGAAGATCTGAACAGAATGAAATTGTGCCAAAAAGAGCAAGGAGTTCTACATGAGCAATATGAAATAAAATAATCATATGCAATGTTTTATACTTACCTGACTATAATAAATTAAAAAACACTGTAAATTAAATTTCTATACATTCTTTTTTTTTTTTTTTTAAGGGTCAACGTTTAATGGCTGGTGTTTGGGGAACTTCCACAATTCTCACCTAGGCAAGAAAAGTGGAATTTGGAGTAGGTACCGATCAGAAAAAAAAAAAAAAAAAAAAAAAAAAAGAAGAAGGAGGAGAGCGCAGGTCTGGCTTCCATGGGTATCCATTTTCCCTGAACATGGAGATTGAAGCATACCTATCAAACGAGAGGCTGCCAGCTGTTATTGCCTTTCATTGATATGGAAGAAAGGACTTCCCCACAAGGCTGGACTGGAAAATCAAGCAGGTTTCTTCGTAAGGGAGAGGAGCTTAGGAGTGATACTAAAGTCTTGTGTTTTTTTTTTTTTTTTTTTTATAATAGCAAACATGTTATACTTACCTGCGCTTTGCAGTGGTTTTGCGCAGAGCAGCCCGGATCCTCCAGACCCTTCTAGAGTCCCCCGCCGGCACTCCTGCTCCCCCCACCCATCGGGTGCCCCCACAACAAGCAACTTGCTATGGGGGCACCTGAGCAGGCACGCTGCTCCCAAGCCACGACTCTGCGTGTCCATTCACACACACACAGCCATGGTTCGGCCCTGCCCCCTCCCTCTTCTGACTGGCTCGCTGGCTGTGGTGGACAGGAGTGGGAGCCACTCAGGAGAGTCCCAGGAGAACTGAGGCTCTAGTGGACATCGCTTGATCGGGATAGGGCTCAAGTAAGTGTTGGGGCTGGGGGAGGGGACTGCTACACACAAAGTTTTTTTTTTTTACCTTCATGCATAGAATGCAAGAAGGTAAAAAACCTGCTTTAAGGATACTAACAAAAACTGGGGACTCAGAGTGGGGTAGGGCTATATGGGGATGCCCAGGGGGGTATCTCCTTAAAAGTTTTGCCAGTGTTCAAATCACCTAAAGGTACCGGCTTATAACCCGGGGTCTATAAATATCAAGCCCGTGTCCCCTGTACTGTATGAGTAACAAGCTGTTGTTGAGCTGCATGCAGCGTACACAGGAAAAGCCACATACAAATTAAGTATATCAAAACTTTCCAAAGATTTTTAAAGCAGATACAAAATCAATCGGCATGTAAAATACATGGCAAGCAGGATGCAAATCTGTTTAGAAAAGGGCCTTTTCTGTACCAATTTGCATTGTGGAAAGGAAATTGGTTATTCTAATAAGCAAGAAAATACATTTTCAACAGGTGGCTTATCATACCATCTTCCAGCAGCTGGAGTAGGAAAGGGAATTTAGACTAAGCTTCTTACTGCAACAGAGTTCCAGAAACCTACAAGCAGGGGAACAGATGGGAAATGTAAATATGATGCCCAGGAAGTTTAGTACAGAAAATCAGCTGCAAATACAATGGCTTCAGTTAACTGCTGAATCTGCCTGAAATGGTGTGACAGTGCCAAGTCAAAAAGTCCATCCAATTTACCATACATAAACAATACAATAAAAGGGATGAAGGTGCCATGAGGATTTAGTGAGCTGGGCAGCTAGGTACACAAGACAACCGCCTGAGGCATAGCTGGACCTACTGGGCAGATAGGCTGTGCATGAAGTTTAAACATTTTTGCATGTTTGACTAAAGGATTACTTAGGATAACCTGTTATCAGGGTCAAATTTCTGCAGAGTCAACATTCACAAGTAATACATTCTGTATATAATAAAAGGTTTCAGATTGCTGATCTGCCTGCCAGTACTAGTGATGAGCTTGGGTTCCGTTAATATAATTGGCCCAATATAGCCACATGCACATATTTGGTCAATGATGTCAGGAGGAGCAGAGATGGATTCCTATACATGCAGCCGCACCACCGCTCTTCCCATCTAGCTTCTTTGGGCTGCACCTGAGCTGAGAGAGTTATTGCTGACAGTCCCCCCAAACCCTCTCCCCTACTGCTTCTGCTCCTCCTCCTCCCTCTGCTCCACCAACAGGAAGTTTGAAGCCCAGGGAGAAGAGGAAAGGTGATGCCTGTCAATTGACTGAGTGAAGTCCACCCCCCCCCCCTCTTTTCTCTCTTGCCTCCCAGTGTGTACTGTAATGTAAGAAGCATTCCTTTCTCTTTCTTCCTTCCTTTGCTCCTTCTCTTTCCTTCCTTCTTTTCTCCATGCCCTTCCTTTTTTCCCCCCTTCTTCCTTCCTTTTTCCCTCCTCTTTTCTTCCCTTCCTTTTCACACTCCTGATATCTCACCTAAGCCCCCCCAATGGGGCCCCTTAACAAAAAAAAAAAAAAAAAAAAAAAAAAAATTGTACAAAATAAATATTTAGACCCCCCCCCCCCCCCCCCAAAAAAAAAAAAAAAACCACACACACACACACACACACACACACACACACACACACACACACCACAAAAAAAACTACTGACACCAGTGGTGGAAACCACCAGGGTCAGGGCCCTGGCGTTCCAACACTTTCCTTGGAGGGAAGGGTCCCTTCATGGTTTCTAACACCGGGGCCCTGAAGGTTCAAGTTACGCCACTGCTGGTAGGTTAATTGGCTCTGGTCTACAAATTGTCCCCAGTATGTACATGGATGTGGAGGTACAGATCTTATAATCAGACTGTCATCCTTTTTCCCTAGTGGAACCCATAAAATAATTTTCAGATCTCAAGAAACATCTGGTTTAATAAGTTCATTGGGAGTCAGTGCCCTTACATTGGTGGCGAGTTGGAAGAATGACCTAGATGTAGTCAGAATGCCACCCTTATAGAAAAATAAAAAGATCATTGTGTACACATACACACACACACACACACACACACACGCACACACACACACACACACACACG